GACATTGATCTTCGAAGGGTTGCGATCAGATCATGGTTTCTTGAAATGGGTCGAAACCAACAAATGGTTGGGAATCATTTTTTTATACAATTAAATTTTGTTTCGAAGGGTTATGCGGGAGTCTGTTTATTTACTAACTTTATTTTTATTTCCTGGTACTAGCATCATACATGGGACTAATCATCTCGCTCGTGCGCCGCGGCGGCACACTGAGTAAGGCTTTGGATCGCTAACCTGGAGGTTCGTACATGCTTTCCCCTTGTCAGTGGCGCAAAATGGATACCCTGGCAAGGGGTAACGTATGGGCATTCAGATGGGTCGAAAAACCAAGGTCCTGTGCAGATAAAAGAACCCTTGGCAGTTGCATTCGATATAAGAGTAGGCCGTAGCACACTGAATGGAGAATGCCCGACTGCATTAGCCCACTCCTTTGCAAAGCAGTAGGACGTTAAACCCACTTCATTTCGTTTCGTTCTCTTTTCTCATCACTTCCCATCTTTTGAATAGTTCATATGTGACCAGAATCTACTGGAAACCACGTATTTGTTAGATATAGTCGAACTAGTTTGGTTTAATGTGGCGTCACAAAATGGTTATAGCCCAACAATGCTTTTATCTATAGACGTAACAATTTCAGCAAAGACAGGTTTTTATTTATACAAAAAGAGAAGTGGTATCAGGTGTTTTGAGACATGTATGAATACAATATAATTAATGGCACTGTTAAATTATTTGATTTTAATTATACAATTATACATGTAATTATTGTATATTATATTGTTCATATAGTAGACATTTATATACTGTTTTATTCATATTAAACGGAATCTCCCGGCATATTAAAGAATTTACATACTAAATACCTATAATGTTCTAAATTCTTACTTAAGATAATTAGATATTGTTTAGAACAAACAGTTTACGGAAAGAAAGGCATACTTATTTCGATAAAACGATTTAATTTTATGCTAAAGGAGCTTTAATTACTATTCTTTGGCACATAGAGATGGACACAAATGGGTCGCAACGCATATTACATTTAATCGTTTCTGTTGTTACTGTAATTTCTAATTAGTTATGTTCAGCGAAATACGTGAACAGTTCAAATTGAATGACAGTCTTTGGCGTCTGGTTATTCCAGTCTACACCGGGTGTATTCTCATGTGGGATATTAGCCTCGTTCCTCGAGTCGCTTCATTACAAACCAATCTGGCACGCAATTCATGTGCCACTTTTAAAATTTTCATTTTTTCTTAAATATTGGATATCAGAAGCCCAACCTTTCACGGTTAGATCACAGCATTAATACTGATCTAAATTGACCAATAAGCCTTGTTTGCAATGTCCAAGACTATGGATGATATTGAGTTAGAGCCTTTTCTCTTTTAATGGAAGGACGTTAAACCCCATTTCATTTCATTTCTTTTAATGAAAGGCATATTTACAGAAATTATAGCTGTGTTTAACAACACAATTCGTTATGGACACAAACGCTGAGGTTATGGGCGATTTGTCAATGGGAGTAAGGCTACGATAATCGCGTTAACGAGTATTACCGACTCTTTCACGTTTTTACTCTCGGTCACCCAGAACCTCCTTGTCTTCATCGCGTGGAGGGTCTGGGTCCCATTGCCCATGCGTAACCGAGAGTTGTTTTTTTATGTGGTTGATTATCTAGTAAATTTCGCCAAGTCAAGTAAGAGTTGCACCCCTTACCGAAATAAATCACATAATTCATGCATTATTATCAACAAACATGAATCGTGACGACGAGTTAGGATTAATAAAAAAACATAGATATTGTCCATGAAGAGAGAAATTTTACAATAAAAAATTAAGAGTGTTGGATATTGATGCTAATATATTCTCTGAAATGGCAATTCTTAAATTAATTTTATCGGCGTCGATATCTTGTTTTAGGACTCGTTACCTCCCATGATAATGTAAAAGACAGGATAATCTTGCCAACGACCTAATTATTCTCAAATGTTGTCAAACCATCTAGACTAATATTCATAGAATATTTGACTGAATGATAGAGACTATCACGTTTTGTGTTTCGGCAAACTGATCAGCTGTAAATATTGGCTTGGCCGCCATTTCATTTATGGGGATGACAACGGGCGAATTAATTAGCACTCGATATTAAATTATTAAGAATAAAAAGTGTTTAAAGTATATCTGGATAAATAAATACAGTACATCATATTTCGTGGTAACGGATATATAAAATAGTACGCTATGACTTGAGTAAATGGCCCCAATTTCAAACTGTGCTGATTTATATCCCCATTTTGACTTACTTTGGCGCCTCACGCGGGTTTGAAAAACACAGTGTGTCGAGCCGCTCGGATTGGACAATAAGGAGATACTGGGGTATACATAACGTTGCTTAGAAGATGTTTCATACAGGTTTAGAGTATCAGGTACTGCGTCCAATAGCAAGGTGAGAGGATTTAGTTGTGATTAAATTCCGAAGGAAAGATCACATTCATTTTTGTACCCCCCCCCCCCCTCCACCCCTCCTTTAATTTACAAGGAAAAGTGTGTTATGTGGCTTTTATCAGCGATTATATAATTCTATAGTTAATTAATCATTTATTAGGACCCACAAATTTCATGGTTACGATGATCATAGTTATACTCCCCATAGCCCGAGGTATGGCGTATGCCAGTCTTAATTATACCCGTTGTCTTCATTATAACCGTTGTTGAAGAAAACTAGGACGTTAAACCCCATTCCATTTTCCTTAATAAACAGTAGTATACGTTGGATTGCTTCTATTCTTTGTATTAATGTATGTATGTTTGGAATCTGCAAATATAATTGAATAGAAATATGTTTATTGTCTCTTCGTATTACAAACTTTATACTATTTAGCTGTTTTGACCAAAATGATTCTATGCGTTTACAGACAAGAAAGTAACTACAACTACTACAACTACAACAATTACAACTACAATTACTACTATTACAGCTTATGAATTACATTATGATAAAATACTCACCGTGTTCATGTCTGTCCACTGGTGTCCTCACGTTTCCAACATCTTGGTAATATTCACCCATATTCGTGGTTTCGTACATTGCAGAATCTTCAAAGCCGTAATTCTGGTGCGTTTGTGGATGTTTGGTATGGTGATCAGTATTATCAGTAGATGATGACCGCACTTCGTCGTAAGTTGAATCTGTATCATTAGTTTTAATGGTATCCATATTTAGATTATCGTATGGGGATGGTTCTTCTACATAGCCACCAACATTGAAGAAAATAAAATGAAATTTATTTTGAAAACAGAGAGAGAAACAGACAGAGAAAAATGGAGGCGTGTACCCATTGTCGTGTTTGTAAAAGGACCCTTGACAGTTGGAAATAAGAGTAGGGGTGTGACGTCCTACCTTTCAGCCCGATCGAGCTAATAAAGACGGACATACGGTGTGCTATGAGGCTAATCATTAGCTCACACAGCTGTGTTACGACCTATTTATCATGCAACTGACAAAGGGGGGCCACACCGGTACATCTCGAGGACATCTTTCGGAAAACACTGGGATCGAACCCCAGGTCTTTTGATTAGCAAACCAACACCATATAACATGAACCACCAAGAGTCTAAAGGCATGCATGATCAAATTGGTCCAGTTTTTCTCGGAAACCAGGTGATAACCGTCACTTTTATCATTTTAACGATACTAAATATAAAGAGGAGGGTGGGGGAGTTACATAAATAAAAAAAATTCAACCTTCGCTGGTCTTTCGTTGTTTTAATTTCCGTACCAAAGTTACAACAACCGTAATGATTATAACAATGAATACAAGGGCTCCAACACCAACTGCTAGCATAAGGATTATGTGGGATGTTTCTGATGTTTGTGGTATAGCAGATTCTACTGAAAAAAATGTTAAAACTGTATTCCTATTCTGAAATTCATCGTTAGCCCGAAATCAACAGGGTTTATTCTGTCCGTTACAACTTCCAGTCTCTATCACGTTATAAGAAAGACAATCATCTGATTAAAACGCAGATCCTATTTCGGTTGATTGGTTAATCAAATGTCTGACACCATAAGAGTCAAAATCCGCTCATATGACCTTTGGTGCGACCTCCTATTACAACTGGTCAGATTTTCATGTAGTAGAGGCCATCGAAAGTATATAAAAAAAAACTACACGAAATATAGATCCATATGATTCGTCTTCCATGACCCCAATACTTGCTTCACATCAAATTCGAAACAAAAATCAGTCAATAACTATAGATTTAATGGCGTTATCTGTAAATCGCATTGTCAGAATGAGAAGGGAAATAACTCCAAAACGAAAAATGAGGACAATTTTCTCATTATGCCTCAAAAATGAAAGAGGGATAACTCTGGAACAAAAAGTCGTAAAACGCCGAAATTCGATAGCAATCGTCCACTTGAGGTCTGCAATGAACCCAAGGACAGGGGCGACGACTATATACACCCACATCATGGCAATTATGATATAAGTAACAACTATTAAAGTCTCTAAGCGTCATTTGTATCTTTCGGAAATTCATTTATTATTTTTAAAACATTTAATTAAAAAACGAAACCAAAATATTAAAGGTGGATAATCTCTCGGCTTTAAATCCGTCTACTCTCTCCGTCGGTATCATAGTTTGATCGATTAGCAAAGTGTCCGTACCAAAGCAAAATGTGCGCACTATGTTTCCCAAAAACAAAAGGTGCACACTAGAGATTCCATAAAAAGGAGCGTGCCAGGGATTTAAAAGATACAAAATCTTATCTAAATGTCCTACTGATCTGAATTATTATTCGACTTTAATGTAATTCCGTTGTACGGTATTAGTCTAATATCAGAGAAATTGCACAAATAATTTATTAAGTCCGTCTTCATTAGGGATGAAGTAGATATTCTTAAACATATTCTTAAAACATTTTGGCAACATCTTTAAACACTTACCGCTCGTTCGTCCGTATGTCGCGTTAAAACCCGTTCTTGTACCAGTGCCGTCAGTGTGGAATATAACATACAGAAATTTTGACGTAGCAACTATAGGTGGCGGTAATGTGTCACCACAATACTGACCGATTAACGGAGCATTGTCATTCATTCCATCATATACCTGGTATAAATCAAACAAAATGAAATGAATACAAATTTTATTCTGGGCTTTTAATAATCATGCACCCCCCCCCCCCCGCACATTTTCTTTTCAGCTATGTATTTATGTTCAAATATAAATGACAACATTCCATTTTACTTGTTATAACATTTCTATCGGATAAGCTCAATTGATTATAGCGTACATGATCACACTGCCACCAATAACACCACTTTAAGTCAATGCAAGTCATTTAATTAGTTTTTAATCATACTAATTGGAGAATATAGGCATATTCATTTTGAAATTCTAACAGCTTAAAGGGACCCTCCCGATTTTAACAGAATCTCAGAAAAAAAAATAGATGAATGGTGAATTTACTTGGTCTGAAAACTTCAGCTCAAAATATTGAGTCGTTTGGACGTGAACGCCAAAACCGCTTCTCCGGACACGTAACCGTCTTAAGGTTTGGGGGTCAAGGTTTCGGGTGACCTGATAATCTATCGCTGTTCCTTTAGAAGTATATACAGTGCATGACCCACGAGCTGTAGGCCTTCTTAATAATGAAAGGTAAATTTCACCTACATGTAACTTTTATAAAATAAAAGTCTGGTTTTAACACAAAATTAAGCAGTTTTATTCTCAAAAATACAATCTGATTAAAACACAGATCTTATTTCGTTTCGTTTTTTATAGTTCAAAATTTCGATTTTCGAAGAGTCGTTATATAACCCGCTCTCTGGTTTATGTGAGGGATTAGCCAATGAAACGGTCTGTTACGGCGAGTTCTTGGCGTGCGATGCACAGAACTGTTGGTAAACCACCAGAAACGTCAACGGTTATTGATTAATCAATGTCTGACGTCACAGGGTCAAAGGCCGCTCGTATGACCCTTGACACGACCTTTCACTGCAACCGGTCAGATCTTCATGTAGCGTAGGCCATCGAAACGAAATATAGATCTGTATTTTAATCAGAATGTTGGCTTTTATAAATTAATAACAGTATTGCTTCTTTAAATTTTCTTTTTGATATGGACTGTGTCATATTGACCATAATATTCCCTACCTTAATATAATCAAGTGTACATCCAGTGTTGTTCTGTAGATCTATGTCAATTATAGTAAATCGACCAACTTCATCATCCGCCGCTACGATCGTCCATCGACAATCTACAAAATTCTCATATTCACCGTCTCCATCTACATCAAAAGACGTTATTTCACCTTGCGTATCATTCAAGTAACCACCACAGCCCCGATTTTTGTCTGTTGGGATATAATCGTATTAGCTATGTTAATGAGAGCTGGTGATATTGGGGGTTACAGATATATCGGGGAGGTCTTGCTGTATAGACACTAAACACACAGAACGTCCGTGTTATAAATAGAGTTTAACGTCTTACTTTTCTGCACCAACTGGGTATCACGGATATTTTGTCCCTTAACGGTGATGGGGTCTTTAACGTACTGTACATGGAAGCGCGGGGTTTTATCCCTTAGGACGACTATCTGACTAGCGGAAAAATTCCGAGGAACTTTCCGGCAAGGTGTGTAGCGTTAGTATATAAAAGAATAAATGTATATGTTCTGGTGGAACCAACACTGTACTTTAAATGTTTCGCAATGAATGCGAGTGGGGTGAATTTAAAGTTTCCCCCCTTTACAAGGCAAATTGTAAAACTAGTCATTTATTAGAATGCAAAGAAATGAATTTTATTAATAACTATGAACCCTCCTTAAATCGGAAAATTGGTTGATTTAATAATAATCCTATTAGATAATAACTATCACCATTGTATTCAGAGTAGAGATCATTGCATTTACTCTTTTTTAACATATGAATAATGAAATCAGTATTAAAGACGTACCCTGTGTGGTGTAGGAAATGTTAAAACCGCGTCCTGTAATAGACCTGTCAGTTTTAAATCTGAGCACCATACTACCCAGAACGCTGATGGGTTGTGGTACCGTTGTACCACAGAAGATTCCTAGTGGTGACCCTGATGCATCGTTACCAGCGTAAACAGATAAAGAATCGAATATACATGGGGGACCTGCCAAAAAGGACAAAATGGCGTGAACTATTATTTTAATATCGGCTGGAGTTACTTTTTCTCAAAGTGTGTTCACTGACTTCTACGGGGCCTACATCTATATATAGTAAGATAGCCATGTAGGCTAAAGAGGGGAAATACGACAACACAGATAGAGAGTGCAGTTTATCTGAAAGGAAAACTTAGTCCAAATTTGTTAATAATCCTTTATGTTCTCAAGAAATCAGATCTCTATCGTGTGTTCACATAATATACCTCTGGAACAGAAAGTCATACATACTGCAAATCAACAGTGTTCATCCTTATTATCAATTAATGCACAATTATAGTTAATATAAAATCTAATTTAGTATAAGTTTACTGAGTTTTTGACGGATACAACTATCAAGCTCTGAGAGCTTATATGAAAAGGACTTCTTGTATCCCTAGTATTTTAGTGAATTGTAATTATGATAGCATAAAATGTTGAACCCAATTCGTCTTTGATTTCTATAAGCTCAAACTGAGGTATATTATACACCAAATCTATAAAACAAATAAGTTCCTTGAGTGTTTCATTAATTACTTTCAATTTCAAAACACACTGAGATAAAAAAAAATATATTATTTACCTTCTGTGTCAAATATAGTAGGATCAAATGTCAACTCAATGTATTTTTTCGGGTCGACCACGATAGTGTAAGTACAATTCAAATAGTTATAGTAACTGTAAGGATAACCTGGTGATAAAATGGTAGCATGGTCTTCTGTGAACATTACATCACATCCTGTAAAATTGAGTTATTAAAGGTCGTAGGAGAATTTCGGATTACAATTAGTTGAAAGTGGATTCAACCGTATACACCTCGGGTTGCTTTCCAGCGTCACTGATTGCACTTGTCTGTCCCATAACTCCTCAGTTATGTATATTGCTGTTGTTGTACTGAGCGTTTAACGTCCGCTTCCACCGAAGGTGATATCGCAGACAAGTTGTTTTATTTTCATTTTCTTAGGATACACGCAGGGGTCTTTCCTGTGGGGAGAAACCGAAGTACCCGGAGTAAACCCACGAGGTTGAGAAGGCGCCCCATATCTCCAAGCCACATACGCTCACACTAAGGATCGAAAACCACAGGATGAATTTATCCCGTGGACTACATTATATTTTAGACATGAATACTGCGGAATAGTAATCTGACTGACTTATCCGAACGTAAGGACGTTTTCCTGTATTCCTGTGCTATTAGGAAACGGCTGGTAATAAGTCGACGCGTATAAACACCTTTAGAAATGAAATGGTACATAACGTCCTGCTTTTCTGTGCAGACTGGGCTAACGATGACGGGCACGGGTCATATAGTGCGCTAATGGGAAAATCTCGTCAGAACAGAATTCAGACGTCCCAATGGTATGAAAAAGATTGACGCACGCGTAAAAGAACCTTTAACTGTTGGAATTTGAAATAAGAGAAGATTGCAACGCCGCTGTTCGGGCTCAGTTCTCCTCATAGCACATTGAATGGCGTATGCCCGTATTCATTAGCCCGGATTTAATAATAATCCTATTAGATAATAACTATCACCATTGTATTCAGAGTAGAGATCATTGCATTTACTCTTTTTTAACATATGAATAATGAAATCAGTATTAAAGACGTACCCTGTGTGGTGTAGGAAATGTTAAAACCGCGTCCTGTAATAGACCTGTCAGTTTTAAATCTGAGCACCATACTACCCAGAACGCTGATGGGTTGTGGTACCGTTGTACCACAGAAGATTCCTAGTGGTGACCCTGATGCATCGTTACCAGCGTAAACAGATAAAGAATCGAATATACATGGGGGACCTGCCAAAAAGGACAAAATGGCGTGAACTATTATTTTAATATCGGCTGGAGTTACTTTTTCTCAAAGTGTGTTCACTGACTTCTACGGGGCCTACATCTATATATAGTAAGATAGCCATGTAGGCTAAAGAGGGGAAATACGACAACACAGATAGAGAGTGCAGTTTATCTGAAAGGAAAACTTAGTCCAAATTTGTTAATAATCCTTTATGTTCTCAAGAAATCAGATCTCTATCGTGTGTTCACATAATATACCTCTGGAACAGAAAGTCATACATACTGCAAATCAACAGTGTTCATCCTTATTATCAATTAATGCACAATTATAGTTAATATAAAATCTAATTTAGTATAAGTTTACTGAGTTTTTGACGGATACAACTATCAAGCTCTGAGAGCTTATATGAAAAGGACTTCTTGTATCCCTAGTATTTTAGTGAATTGTAATTATGATAGCATAAAATGTTGAACCCAATTCGTCTTTGATTTCTATAAGCTCAAACTGTGGTATATTATACACCAAATCTATAAAACAAATAAGTTCCTTGAGTGTTTCATTAATTACTTTCAATTTCAAAACACACTGAGATAAAAAAAAATATATTATTTACCTTCTGTGTCAAATATAGTAGGATCAAATGTCAACTCAATGTATTTTTTCGGGTCGACCACGATAGTGTAAGTACAATTCAAATAGTTATAGTAACTGTAAGGATAACCTGGTGATAAAATGGTAGCATGGTCTTCTGTGAACATTACATCACATCCTGTAAAATTGAGTTATTAAAGGTCGTAGGAGAATTTCGGATTACAATTAGTTGAAAGTGGATTCAACCGTATACACCTCGGGTTGCTTTCCAGCGTCACTGATTGCACTTGTCTGTCCCATAACTCCTCAGTTATGTATATTGCTGTTGTTGTACTGAGCGTTTAACGTCCGCTTCCACCGAAGGTGATATCGCAGACAAGTTGTTTTATTTTCATTTTCTTAGGATACACGCAGGGGTCTTTCCTGTGGGGAGAAACCGAAGTACCCGGAGTAAACCCACGAGGTTGAGAAGGCGCCCCATATCTCCAAGCCACATACGCTCACACTAAGGATCGAAAACCACAGGATGAATTTATCCCGTGGACTACATTATATTTTAGACATGAATACTGCGGAATAGTAATCTGACTGACTTATCCGAACGTAAGGACGTTTTCCTGTATTCCTGTGCTATTAGGAAACGGCTGGTAATAAGTCGACGCGTATAAACACCTTTAGAAATGAAATGGTACATAACGTCCTGCTTTTCTGTGCAGACTGGGCTAATGATGACGGGCACGGGTCATATAGTGCGCTAATGGGAAAATCTCGTCAGAACAGAATTCAGACGTCCCAATGGTATGAAAAAGATTGACGCACGCGTAAAAGAACCTTTAACTGTTGGAATTTGAAATAAGAGAAGATTGCAACGCCGCTGTTCGGGCTCAGTTCTCCTCATAGCACATTGAATGGCGTATGCCCGTATTCATTAGCCCGGATGGAACGAACAATTAGGAGGTTAAACCCCATTTCATTTAAAAGGTTAATCACCATCCATGCCGCAAAATACAAATACATGCTAGATTTAAAGGAGCTAAATCGCGAATATTTTGGACCTAGAAATTGGCACAAATGGGTCGCAACACATATAATAATGTAATATGGATTTATATAAACTGTTTTACATTCAATCGTGTCCGTTTTACTGTGAATTGTCATCAGTTATGTTCGGCGAAATACGCCAGAAGTCTTAACCGCAAGTCAGTTTCCAGCGTCTGGTTATTCCAGTCAACACCGATATTATTTATTGCGCATGCTCTCCTAATAAGAATATGATATCACCGTTTCACATGACTTGTGGAATATATCTAGCCTCATTCTTTGAGCACCTTGTTACAAATGGCACTGAAACGCATTATGGTACACGATTCGTGTACCAATGGTAAAATGTTTATTTTGTCTTAAATATTGGATATCAGAAGCCCATCTTTTCCAGGTAAGATCACAACACCAATGCTGATTTGAATTGAAAAACAATTCGTGTTTTCAATGTCGAAGATTTTGGATGATATTGAGTTACGGACTTAGCTACTTTAAAACAGACAGAAAAATTGCAAATTATGCACTGGAAAATTGTTGAGGTGTCTACTACCCTAAAATATCGGAAATGGTATTATCGCTAACTGTAATTGTCACTTAGTAAAATAACTACAGATTTGCCCACATTTAATTGTTACAAACCCAGCCTTCTGTGGCATTACAAAAAATACCCAACTTACTGTATATCTGTTCGTATGTAGCAGTAAAACCTGTCCCCATAATACTTCTGTCTGTATGGAATGCAACATACAGGAAGTTGGATGTTGTAAATATAGGTGGTGGTAATGTGTTGCCACAGTACGTGTTGATTAACGGAGCACTGACGTTCTTTCCATCAGATACCTGATATAAGTTAAAGACAACGGTTTAAAAGGTCATGTTTATTCATAAAACCGAAACTGATAATTATAGAACTTAAACCCATCAAATTCATAATTATATCTCTGATTAAACCCAAATATAACAGTCCCTATCTTAATATAAGCATAATTACATGTACATGTACTAAATTGAGAATCTCCTTCTCGTCTTTTTTTATATCCTTTATATACGGGTAGGAGATTTTATTTATCACCCAATCCTTTACATGCACAAATAAAAAAATATAATTCTTTGCTATAGAATTCACTTTGACTGAACCTGATTACATTATGGCGTAGTGATACATCATTTTCTGACAGCAATTTAACCATTGCTAAGTCCTTTATATTGACCCAGTGTTTCCATCAAGGTCAATTAAATAAAAATAGTTCCTTTTTAATAAGAAAAAAGTTACTTTTAATAAAAAAAATGAACTGTTCTTTGCAAATAAAAAAAGTAGTTCCTTTTTGATTGACCAATATCACACAAGCGATATCTACTGTAGAATGTACTATTGGGTGATAAATGATGTTATATCAAACATTGTGTATTACACGACTACCTTTATATAATCAAAGTTACATGCTGTACTGTTCTCTAGATCTAATGATGTTATTTTAAATCTGACCAATTTATTATTCACTGCTACGATCGTCCATCTACAATCTAAGTAGTTCTCGTATTTACCATCACCATCGACATCAGGAGATGTTAATACACCTTGGAAGCTGCTCAGTGTACCGCCACAACCTATAAAAATAAATCAATAAATCAAATAAGGTCATAGATGCTAATGGGAATATGTTTAAAGGTATTAATAAGAAGTACACATTTTTACTCAGTAGGTAAAATGGTGATTAGGTAACGTACAAAGAAATAAAATAGGCATTCCCTGCACTGACCGGCTATTCTCTAAACCGGAAAACACCGAAATACACCAAAAACTACAAAAAAAACACCGAAAAACACCCACGGACACTATATACCGATAAAATTCGAAAAATTGCTATATACTGAGAAACGAACTAAATCCAGAAAAAAACACCTACCTATCAATAAAAAAAAAATAAATAGCTAAAAATAAATATAAAACCGAAATACACAAAGAAAGTACCCGAAGAACACCCACAGACACTATATACCGAAAATTTCCGAACAACTGCTCTTTACAGTATCCGTTTGGCCCGTATGAGAAAATGGCGTTAATCACAATAATTTGCCAGATCTGTCAGTTTTATCAGTGAATAACATATTACATGTACATTTGCCTGATAAGGAATAATGTCATGTTGTTCGGATGGGAAGAAAAACCGAGGTCCCGTGTACATATTGGCGTGCACATTTAAATTTCGGAATAAAAGTAGGCCGCAGTGCCGCTGTCCGGGCAAAATGTTACCCACAGCCCACTATATGGCGTATGCCCGTCTTAATTAGCCAAGTCGTTGCAGAATTGTAGGACGTTAAACCCCCATTTCATTCATATTATCAATTTACGACCTCTTAGAATGTATTTAAAAATATAATTAACTTACCGTACGTCTGTTCGTAGGAAGCCCTAAAACCACTGGCCGTTCTACTACCGTCCGTATGAAATATAACGTACATGGTGTTTGTTGTACCAATTATAGTTGGTGGTAGTGTATTGCCACAGTACGTGCCTATTAACGGAGCATTGATGGTACTTCCATCATACACCTTATAAAAGTCAAGGCATTAAAATAAATACTGGCAAAAAATATAATCACTAAGACATTTCGAGTTAATGAATTAAAACACACAGCGCAACACGACGGTGTTTTCGCTGATAATGAAAGTGATCATCGAATAATTCTGGAAAATGAACATCTACTCGAGACAAGCATCTAAGCGACCACACAAAACCATTTTTTTCTATTTAATCCTCATTTTTAAAGACACTCACAGAAATGAGGCTACAATTAAGAATGTATATGGGTTGTCCAGTGTTTTGACATGACCAAGCCTTTTAACGTCCACTCGACACAAACTACGTCATTTTGGGACTAACATATGGTTCAATTTTATTTTATTAAGGGTCTTTAGCAGTGGAAAGGAACCCAGTGGACCCAGAGAAAACCCACGAGGTTGGACAGGCGACCCTACTCCTTGTCACGTACAACCGGGGAATCGAAACCACGCCAGTTGAGTCAGTGACAGTCCTTGTGATACAAGACGCTCGCGCCAACCATTCGGCCATCAACCCACTGGCTACATAGGTTTATCTCAGTTAATAGAGACTTTTGGCAAGTGGAATTTTTCCCATCCGTATCACGTATCCGTATCGTCTCGTGATACGTTGCGTCAATGTAGTTTTAAAAGAGTCTTTTGGCAAGCGTAAATTCCTGGTCTGTATCGGGTATGGATTTTGTGTGTGACGTCATCAATGTGTGTGTATTTCTCATACGTGATACGGCACACGGATACGGCAGCACGTATCGAACAACTTTTATACGAAAAAGGTCCATATAACATTGTCGTCTTTTTACCGTCTTTTAAATTTTTTTAATAGCTCAGCGACTGTCTAGCAACTTCACTCCCTCCAGGAAAATGTAGGTTAGGTGCTTGATCATGATTAGTACTAATGGTGATCTTGGTAGATAACTGCCATCATGCTGTAATAGAACCCAGTTCAGCTCAGCGATGCATACGTACGCGACGCGAAAATCTGCCAAAACTCTAAAACTATATTGACGTAACGTATCACGTATACCATATGGATGGGAAAAATTCCACTTGCCAAGTCTCTATTGTTTTGGCAGAATTTCGCGCCGCGTACGTATGGGTAGCTGAGCCGATCTTAGTTCTATTACAGCATGATGGCAGTTATCTACCAAGATCAACATCAGTACTAGTTAAGTGCCTAGCCTACAAATTCCTTCCGGGAGTAAAGTCGCCCAACAGTCGATGAGCTATTCAAAATTTAAAGAAATTTAGTTTTGAATCTTAATTAAAATCTTCGACTGCGACTCGACAGCAATTTTTGTTTCACTAATGTATCAGAAAGTATATACCCCTTTTACAGACTTACTAGGTCCCGCCTCCCTAAATTTAGCACGTAGATCAACCAGCATGCAAACAGACAGACAGGAAAAGTATGCAAATTCGCGAAAAGCTCATCAAAAATAATGATTAAATTCCAGTCATTGTCATGGTTAAATAAAATAAAACCAAGTACGAACAATCCAAACAATTAGACAAAATTCGAAGTCCTAAAAAAACGGTATAGGCAAAATAGTGTTATAAGGCAAAATAGTGTAATCAGCACATGGACCTTCGTGTTCTAGGATACACATAGATTCATAAAAACCCCACGACACAACATTTCAGCGTCTAAAAGACGACGATGTTATACGGACTTTTTCCGTGTGCCGTAGCACGTATGAGAAATACGCACGCACTGATGACGTCACACGCAAAATCGATACGGATACGCGATACGGACCAAGAATTTACTCTTGCCAATAGTCTCTAATGTGTCACTTTAATCAACGTGTCGAAACGTTGCGTTATATTAGGGCCACCTGTACTTTAATACAGGTAACGAATCATGTCGATGATGCGCAACCATCATAGCCATAAATTGTATTACTGGCTTACACACTTCAATTAATTGATGATACAAATTTCATCTTAACACACCTTATTTAAAAATTTTGAAAAATTCAACATAATAGTTTGAAACGTCTAACGTAAACCTTTTCAAATGAAACTTCGATTTAAAAATATTTTCGAACCCTCTGGACAAGTAAAATAGGATGTAATGGATAATTTACACAACAGGTAGGACACTTAAACATCTAGTACTTAGATAGAGATATTATTTATTTTCTGGAGCTTTCAAGCCAGCAAGAGTGTTATTGTCACTTTAATGAACAGAAATGTAGTCTCTGCGTTTTTGGACAGTTACATGTACGGTTATCACCCACTAACACATTCTACAGTAGATATCACTTGTGTGGTAACTTTCATATTCTACTGAGCGATATCTCCTAGAAGATATCGCTGTACATGAATTTGATTCATACCCAAAGAATTATACTTGTAGACTTCACACAAAAATGACAATAACGGAGTTGACCATTAACGCCTCTCCAGTAGGTCTCGCATATAGAGCTCAAGAGAATAGTCCGAGTACGCAGATACTAATGACGTATTACGTAATTATTTGCACGAGGTCTTTGGTAAGCCTTTGATGTTGCAAACACGCTAGTCTAGTTCCAATTGAAATTTACAGTTTTGGTAGGACACAATTTGGTATGTAAACTAAATTTATGTTGAAAAGATAGATAAAACGCCTCTCTTTAGTTTGCCAGCTAAGTCATATATTTAAGTACATTTGTAGATTTATTAGAATGATATTTGTATGCTGCCCAAATGTAGCAAATTGGCAGCCATATTACTTCATACCCGCCATATTGATAGTAGTAGCAATTCATTTACGAAATGATGAGTTTGCCTGTCTGTTATTTCGTATGAAAACGAATTTGTATTGATAATTGATCGATGTAACTATGATTTACGTCTAAGCTGTGTCTGTGAAGTGTATAGTAATTAATGTAAACTTTGTTGGAAGTCTATTATTTGACAGTACGCAAAAAGGCCTAAATTTTAGGGACAGTCTAGTCCACGACAGATTAAGTTAAGATTTTTAGATGTTGATGTGTGTTCTTATTGTTGCTTTTGTCTCGTTGCAGCTAATATGTCTATGTTTGTACACTTGTAAGTGTATTCCATGCACCAGACAATATTGAAGTTATAATGTCATAATTTAGAACTTGAAGAATGTCTTTGCTGATGTGATGTTAAAATGATGTTATTCTGAGTCTGCAGATCAGATCTATATCTTATTGACCTGTCATATTATGAGATGGATGTTCTGAAATATTATCGTCATTAAACCTTGTCATAGAGTAAAGTTGTTCTGATGTTTGGAAACTTATTCAGCAAACCTACCGCAATTTTAGTAGTCGCAGTATGTTTAGTTAGCCGCAGCTACAATACTTTTGTATTTGTGCGTGTAAGAAAGGGTTGGGTGATAACTAAACTCTTCTACTCGTCTTTTTAATATCCAAAAATATTAACGCTCGTTTATAATGTAAAAATAAACTCGACATTATCGACTTGTGTTGATATTTTTATATCAAAAAAGCAATCTAATTAAAATATAGATCTATATTTCGTTTCGTTTTTTATACTTTCGATGGCCTACACTACATGTAGTAAAGACAAGTAAAATCGAAATTTTGAACAATAAAAACGAAACGTAATTGGATCTGTGTTTTAATCAGATTGATCAAAAAAGATTCGTAGGATATTCTCTATAATCAACCACTATGTAATAAATCCAACTATAATATTCCCTACCTTAATATAATTGTTACCTAAATAATGATATCATATCAAACACTATGTATTACACCCAACTATAATATTCCCTACCTTAATGTAATCATATCTACATGCCGTATTGTTCTCTAGATCTAATGATATTATTCTAAATTTGACCACTTGGTTAATCACGGGAATCATGGGTACTATAGTCCATCTACAATCTAAGTCGTTCTCATATTTACCATCACCATCGACATCAGGAGATGTTAATACACCTTGGGTACTGCTCAGTGTACCACCACAACCTGTAGAAATTAATCAATAAATCAAAAGAGATTAATGGGAATATGTTAAAAGGTATTAATAAGAAGTACACTTTCTTAGGCATCAGGTACAATGATGATATAGGTAAAATATAACGAAACGAAATAGGGGTTAACGTCAAATTTTCCCGAACTTACTGGGCTAATAAAGATGGGTGGTAACATATCACAAGCTAATAAAAATATACCTATATTTTAAAGTATACGGAATAAAATGGGGTTTAATGTCGTACTCTTCTGCTCAGTGAAGTGGTATCAGCTGTTCTTATACGATTAAGGCATTAAGAATATTCTGCCTTGTGCACGAAACCAGTGACTATATATAGTTTCTAGTACTTGTCCAGAGCTTTAAATACAAAACTACAATACAAAAAGATTTTGAGTGGTATCAGCTGCGACGGGGAAACTTCGCCGGATGAGTAATGATTGCCGAATTGAACATGGGGCTCTTGAAATGGGGTTTAGTGTCCTACTTTCTCTGTAACGATTGAGGTAATGAAGAGGGGGGATATAGGGTATAATTTATTATTATTATTATTACAGCATATTTAAAGTGCGCCCTTTCATACCGTGTGTTCTGGGACACTTTACAAAGTGACAATGTAATCATGAAAAAACAAGATTATGGTCATGTAACCTGCTGTTTACCCAGAGTTAGTTAAAAGCTTTTTTAAATAAATGTGTTTTATAAAGAAAATAGAAATTTGCAATTTATTAAACTAAATGGTAGATTATTCCATAAAACAGGGGCCTGAAAACTAAATTTAGGTCGTTGATCATAAAGATTAGAATTATCTGTCAGTTTAAGCAATGATTCAGATCGATTTCACCCTTCTTGCAGTGTATTACACAACTGAACCAACTTACCGTACGTCTGTTCGTAGGTAGCCCTAAAACCGCTGGCCGTTACACTACTGTCCGTATGAAATATAACGTACATGGTGTTTGATGTACCAATTATAGTTTGTGGTAGGGTATTGCCACAGTATTTTCCTATTAACGGAACACTGGCGGTACTTCCATCATACACCTTATAAGACATATTAATACATAATTCAGAGAATGCCATTACTATAATTGTAGCAACCAATATCCGTCTATAATTAAGACAATTCGAGTAAATGGATTAAAAACATTGAAGGTAAGAAGACGGTGTATTCACTGATAATGAAAGTGGCCATCCAATCATTATTGCAAATCAATATCAAAGAATATCTTCTGAGTCTACAATTAACAATGTATTTAAAATTGACATGGGTTGTCCGCCTTCATGACCTGAAGAAGCCTTCTAATTTTCAACGTTTTTCGATAATCCCACCCAGAGTTATTCTCCTATATCATATGCACACATTTTATCGTTTATGAAATCTTGTTACAATTTTGGCTGCATTTATATACTAATCTGTCTTATTGTAATTTATATTAATCATCTATTCTATAGCACGTAAGGCGTCATGTTCAACGTTTTTCGATAATAACTTTCAGAGTTATTCTCTTTTTTAAAAAAAAATTATGTATTGTAAGTTTCAATTATAATCCGATCTGTTTAAATTGTGTATAAGTTGTTCATAAATTCATTCCAATGAACATGCATAGTCTAAACTGTATTGTTGGTTTACATACGATGCTCACGGCCAGCCAATCAATAGTTGTCAGACAAATATTAGCTCATGCAATGTACTGTTCAAATCGGACATTTCAATTTACTAAGGTATTTGGAAAATGCCTCTATATAACTAAACCACATGCTGTCATGCCCCCAACCAAATCAAGCAAATCTATATAATCTTATCTACTATTGTACTGTTATCTAATTAAATAAATACAACTATAATATTCCTTACCTTAATATAATCATAGTTACATGTTGTTACCTAAATAGTGACATAGCAGTCTTTTTTGATATCAAAAAATATCAACACAAGTTGATTAAGTAACAAAAAACGAGGCTCTGCCCAGTTTTTTTTTACTTTATTAACGAGTGTTAATATTTTTGGATATAAAAAAAAGACGAGTAGGAGATTTTATTTATCACCCAATCACTTCTTACATGCACAAATAGATAAATATAATTCTTTGCTGTAGATTTCACTTTTACTGAACATTACAGCGTAGTGGTACATCATTTTTTTGACAGCAATTCAACCTTTGCAAAGTCCTTTATATCGACCAATGGTTTCCATCAAGGTCAATTGAATAACAATAGTTCATTTTTAATAAAAAAAAAATAATTACTTTTAATAAGAAATGAACTGTTCTTTGAAAATAAAAAAAGTAGTTCCTTTTCAACTGACCAATCAAATTCATGTAACCTCCTGAGGAGATATCGCAGTAGATTATGAAATATATCACACAAGAGATATCTACTGTAGAATGTATTATTGGGTGATAAAATCATATCTACATGTTGTTACCTAATTACTGACATATCAAATGTCTATATATTACACCCAACTATAATTTTCCCCACCTTAATATAATCATATCTACATGCTGTATTGTTCTCTAGATCTAATGCTGTTATTTTTAATCTGACCACTTGATTATTCGCGGCTAGGATTGTCCAGCTACAGTCTACGTTATTCTCATATTGACCATCACCATCGACGTCAACGGACGATATTACACTTGGAATACTACTATTCAGTGTACCACCACAACTTTGATTGACACCTGTAAAAATAAATCAGAAAATAACCGTAGATTTCTCATTGATGTCAAATGACTTCAATCTGATTTCAATGTATCTGTAACACCGTATTTTAGAGGCCATTATAATTACTCACTGGATTATTTTATCTGTATTTTAGAGAGACGCAGAGAGGGTGGATGGGGCGGAGGATTCGACGAGTTTTTAACTTCCACTCGACACAAACTAGTTCATTTCTGGACTGCAATCTTATTTCAAGTTCCTTGATAGGAAAGTGACACGGAGACCACACGCACTCTGAACCTAATGAGGAGGACTACGGGTCGGTCATGAATGGGGAGCGAACCGGGTTGCCATCATGATGCCGTTCTCTAATACGTCCTGTACTAGATTATGGTTGCATTGCTTTTTTAAATGAAAGACTCGTCACACTCCGTAAATTAGACACCATGCTACAGGGTGTGGCTTTGCTACAGGAAGTAGGCGAATTCCCTCTGTCACTACGAAGGAAAAAACTGACTCTGGGGCATTGGTCCAAACTGAGCCGATTGTCGGAAAGGTGTCCTGCCTTTCGGGAAATCTCGAGGTATATCAGAGTCGGGGATAACAATAAATAAGACGTCATACCGCCAGGCAATAACTTGGCGAAATGGTCAGAGACCTCGGTCTCAATAAGTTCACCATTAGCAGTATAGAAGATACAATAAGGGTCCCATGCTATCTTTCAATATCCCCGGTAGATACCTCCCTCGTCCTGAGGGTAGATAAAGGGAACAGCCCATTGACGGTCAAACATCTCTCTTTAGTTCATATCGAAGGTAACTGATCCAATTGGACTCACCACATATACACGGACGGATCGCACAACCCCGAGAACAGTACGACGGCCTTCGGGATTTATATCCCGGGAAACGAGTTACAGGTAACAAATAGACTGCTAAACATGTGCTCTAAGTACACCTCGGGAATATACGCGATCAAAGAAGCCGTAGTGAGAAAATCCAGCCAAAGGCATTCAAACTATGTTGTCATCAGCGACTCTCTAAGTAGTCAGGAATCAATAAGGAACTAGAGATCGGATGCCCGTCCCGAACTATTGATCCAGATCTACCTAGCCTCCGAAGAGTCCCCGGCGAAGGACAACAGAGTAGTATTCCCCGCGCACGTAAATCTAGGAGGGAACGAAGAGGCGGAGAGGCTGGCCCTGAAAGAGTCTAAACTGGAGAAATCAAGTATCAAACTCCCTTTTAGCATGAACGTGTTTAAAAATTTGGTTGGGCTACGCGTTGGCTCTGAATGGGAAAACGCCCTGGTGGAGCTCAACACATACAGATTCAGATCCAATGAGTCCTTAATCGCTAAGTTAATTGTAAATCATCCCAGCCCGAAAAATCTGTCGGTTAATAACAAAGCTGAAGGTGAAAGAAACGCCCAGACACCGCCCCGTTAAACCTATAAGGTGTAGGCCTAGTTGCGGCACGGACATATCCACAGCACATATTCTAGTGATCGCCTCACAGCCGAAATGAAACCTCTCACGGATAAACTGAGTTCCGTTAATACGGCTCTCAGTGTTCCGAACTTCCTCTATTCTAGGGTAAGCAGGCATGA